ACAACCACTATACGATAAGTTCACAGACAGCATCCAGTGCCTGTGAAAATCAAATGGGCTGCTTACAGACTAGATTGCGTGACTCGTGTGTGCTTTGAATGGTTCTATTTGGAGCGTGCGACTGATATACATTCCGAAAACCTGTTGACCATTTAAGACTTTATTCGGGAGTTTGTACTTCATCTGATAATTTGACATGAGATTGATGAAAAGGACTAGTTAAACCTGTACGGTGATGGGTAAAAGAAGTGGAACGACTTTCTGAGATCAGCAACTGACCGCTTCAATGCAGGCCAGTGATCAGTTTGGAAGTGGTCTGCCATGATAACCTGCATATCGGTTTATCATTTGATACCTAAGACCACAATTCTGGCCATCAATTACCGTTCCTGAGGCCTGTCTTATTCACGGAAGATGTTTATTTTATTTCAAGTCAACGCTTTCCTCGCGAATACGAATTGGTCAAAGCCTTAAAAATCTGTTTCCTCTTTGTTGGGATTGATAGGTAGCGCACAACCACCAGATCAAAAGGGATTCGAACTTTCTTGTTAACGCCAGTCGGTCAGTATGTCATTCATGCGTGAACATCCTCCTTAAATTACTCCCTCCAGAACCAAAAATGATAGCATTTATGCTTTACCATAGTAAAGCGTTCACACTGAGCATCCTTCTTATGTAGTGTGTAGAGGAGTGTGTGGAATTTACAACTTGTTCGGGCCTGATAAATTTGATGAAAATGCCTTTCTGCAGATAGCGGCATCAGAGAACAATATCGTTTTTCTACTCAACGAAGTGCATCCTCATGAATAGATGACTTCAATCAAGCAACCAATAATAATTCCATTTTATGCATTTCGTGCACAAGTTACTGTTCAAGCAATGGTTTTCTAAATGCTATGGATACAAACAACCTAATGATGGATAAAATGTGGAGTGACTGTAGCTCGGGACGTGGATGTTGTTGTTGGTGGTGATGGTGTGTTCCCCCAGCTGGAAACATTGTTTGAAGACGTTTCTTAGCCATGCTAGGAAAAGGGAAGTTGCACTGATGATATTGCCCAGCTCGGTTAGGAAACATCAACAAACTATATTTCCAGCTCGGAGAACACACCAATATCAACAACCTTACGCGTGTTTTGATTGACTTCAGGCCCTCAACATTTGTGCAATAACATTTTTGAGGGGGCTTACGCAGTGTCCTGGTTGTTGATAGATTGAGCTTTAATTGTGAGCTGAATTAGTTTTGTGCAGTCGTTAAGAGATGGTGTATCATATCTGAGTAATCTTTCAAGCATTTTATGTACATACCAGCATGTCTCGTAATACCGTCTTACCCTAATCTTAAATCAAAGGATGCAATTGATTATGTGTTCAAATATTAGAATTTGAGAGCTGATATCCGTGGGATTCAGCTACTTTCAAATAACTACAGTCTGAATTGTCCGTGCAGCACTCTTGAAGACAGCAGGTCCGGCTGAAGTAATTCATAAGGGACGGGTACTCTTGATTTGATAAACGATTGCAAACTCCAATGAAACTGAACATTTACCGTGAATATTCGCAATTAGAAAACAATCACCCCCCTACATTGTAGTTAGCAGAAACAATGCACTAAAGAACCATAATGGGATTCTCAAAATGTACCTTTAGTTAGACACGGTGCTCACCGATTACTTTTGTTCCGTAAGTCCAAGACCGGTCAATGTATTATACCTTTTTCAATTCATTTCTCCCTTCTACCCCCTTCACCATACACACGTACCTTCAACTCAGGTCACATTCAACTTCGCAGTTTCATGCCAGGGGATTGAACATGTGAACGTCCAGGCAGTGGTAGCCGACGGTGTGACCGAGAGCTTTGATCAGACATTCAGTGTGCTTTTTACACAAGTAAGTGCTGTTCTGTATGTGTAGGGTTGGGGGGTGGGTGGGGGTGGAACAGACGACTTAAGGAAAACAAATTTAGCGAACAGGAGCTTTTTGTTTGTACCCGATGGCACTTTATTGCTAACCGTTGTAAGAACCTGAATAATCAATGGTTGTATAAAATGGAACAGAAACTGATGTATTGCAAAATTATTCCGCGGTTTTCCTTACCATTCAATGTGTTGCCATCTAGATTTTGTACCCGGAAAGATTAATCAATATATAACTCTGAGTGGTCCTATTCACAGTTTACGTCTTCTCATTGAAATGCCTTTTACACTATTAACACAAGAATTGACTCGAAAAAGATCTTTAATACTTGCCAGGGGTACTCAGGGATTTCCGAATAAGTTTAAGCATTAATCATGTACCTTAATGTGATGGTTTTGCTTGTTTTCTTTAGTCTGTCCATTTGGGTAAAAAAAGTAAACTAAGGAAGATTGGTATGTTGAGAGTAGAGTTAATGTAAAAATAGAGAATTCTTTTAGTCTAAGGTTGCAAGGGCGGTGAGTAGGTGTACGAGTACCACTATTTTCGACGCTCCGTCATGTCACGCAATGTCTCTAATCCCCAGTTACGATGATCCAGACGTTTCTTTCCAGCGAGCTGTGCACAACCTATAGGAGAACACCACAACGATTATTCATGACAGAATGATCACAGACGCTCCGATCAATCAGAAAATGGAAAGCTATCTATTCCATAAAGCAGCTTTGTATGAAGAAATATTATACGTGAATGTACGCAAAAATGAAGGTGAAGTTCGAAGTTTAGTCAGTTCAAATCAACCAATCACTACTGTAATCGATGCTGAGTTCCAATGGTAGTTTAAAGAAATAGCTTGCTTCGTTCGCGCGTAATATAGTAAGGGGGGGGGGGGTTTGCTGAGCTATCGACTGTGCACTTTTCATGGAATTCGCAGATCAATTCTCCATCTTTACTGATCGAGCGCTGATCACTCTACCAGATCGAAATAGGATAATTGAATAGTTCTCTCTCTGGGAAACAAAGCTCTGACAGTCAACGTTCTACTAAATAGGTGAAGATGAGCCGTCGTAATTGATGATGCTGTGAGTATAGCAACATCCTGGATGCTAATGCGTCTATCTGTCTGTCTGTCTAACAAGCAGATGTTTCTTGACTTTGAGACGTCAGATACCTGTCTGTGGTAACAGAGCAAACAGTAACTCATCGAGATTGTTGCTTCGAACGTACTTCTAAATTTCATCCGATGCTTCCGAATATATAACAAAGACGATTTAACCAAAATACTCCATTTGCTTCACAGAACCAGTCCTTTGCCACCACATTCACAAAATCATTAGAAACGCCGGAGGCGCATGTGAGCGGTTCGCCGGGCTATATACTGGGAGCACCGGTTCGTGCAGCAGTTCGATTTTCCTCTTCGATCTATATGATGCCACCGATTCGCGTAGTGCCTGGACCAAAACGTGAGCAAGCCACAGAATGGACGCACGGATGGTGGCCCGTATTCGCCGGGGGTAGTTGTGAGAAGTCAGACGATCCGCCAAGTCAAATTGCCACTATTCGCTTCGGAGTGGATATGCAATCTAGTTGTTTGATTCGGTACGTTTTTGTTTCTGTTAACCATAACATTTGTGCTTTTGAGATATTCTGAGTGACTTTTCCGTGAGAGCTGAAAGATCACTAACCTGTTCAGGATTCCTATTCGGGATTGGAAAATTTACCCCTGCATACAGCATCCTTAGATGAATCTGCGAAATCTGCAAGGTTTTTCATCAGATTTTTCATCGGTCTTTGGTTCTGTTCCACATTCCCTCCTCCTTCGTGAAGTGGAATCATTGGGCTGTCCTAAGCACCTACCGACGTGGCTAGTTGACTACTTTACAAACAGAACTCAGCTAGCTCGGCTAAGTGAGAAAACATCAAAACCGCACCTGAACAATTCGAGAGTGCTCCAGAGAGCGGCACTTTCTCTGCTCTTGTTTCCCACCTTCATCGGTGACCTGTCAGCGAGTTCTCCAGTCCAACTATTTAAATACACTGACGACGTAGCTCTCCGTCAAGCCATTTCTCCAGCAATCTATCCATGAATTTTCCGTGCGTTCTGGACTGTTTCCTAACTGTTTCGAATACACTTCTACCCTGTATCGATCGGTTTGTCCCCGTGAAACCGCGTGCATAAACACAGGTTCCCGAACTAGAGTAGATTCCCTGAAGTATTTGATACAAACTTAAAATGATCATCCCATTTTTAAAATTGTGTAAAGAAACTTCGTGGATTATCTTTTCAACTTCGAAGATTTAGGCATTTCACCGCCAAACAGAAAATCATTTTGCTTTTTGTTTATCAATGTGTTTTAATTATTGTTCTTTATTATTCCCCGGTGGTTTTTCTTGGACTACTTATGAAATACTTCTTAATTCTTCTTCACGTCTTGTCGACTATCAGTCCTTGTTCGAGTGTAAAACATTTGCACAAATTATTCTCTCTGGCCCCACTCATCATTTACATGGCGATCTATCCAAATGCCGCTCTCATTCATCCACTCGTTTTGCACATCGTTTATTACCCTCTCGCATCAATCTCCACTGAAGAC